ACATGCAATTCCGGCCTCCTCTAGGCAACGGATGTACGTTTCTGGCCCTTGCGCAAGGACCCAGAACATGTGATCGCAAACCCGAACATTCCGAAAAAGCCGGCACTTCAGTTTTGCACTTGTTGGCTGCTTGTAGTCGACAGTCCGCTGTTGCTTGTGTTCGAGGATGTGTTGAAATGCTCTCATGGTGGGCGAAGATCCTGAACATCCGGACCGCTTGACATCCATGGAAGTGGAACCTACGTAATTGATGTAAGGCGATGAAAGCTGGTACATGACGGCATGCCCTGGCTCTTCGCGTAGCACAGCAAAGATTTGCGCGCTCAAAAATTCAGTCAGTGCATTCTTGGAAACTGTTGTCCATCCAAGCGGGTTAAGGAAAGCGTCGAACACAGCAGGGGGCAAGCTCCTGCATCTTTTGACAGCTCTTTGGCGCTTTCTGCGTCCACTTCGTGACTGCCAATCAGTGATGAGTGCAAGTTTCAAGCTGCAGCACGCAAAGAACATGAAATCGGTGCCTAGGGACGTGCTACGTTTACACTTATGCGAAGGCGGGAAAATCCAGAGGCACAGAGCCTGCAAGATTACACTTAAACTTTGAACGTGCTGCCATGAGGTAACTTTGGATTCCAAGAGGCATGCAACACTTGCAGCCAGCCTTAGCACAGCACTTGTCATCTGCGAAGGCAATTTTCTGACAGCATTGCAAGGTCTTGCTGCTTCCAGCGCAAGCACCCAGCCTGCGAGCCTGGACTCAGGGATGGCCAGGGCCGAGCACCAGGTTTCCAAACAAACTTGCACATGGTCAAGCATGTTTTGCTGCGGTAGTTCAACAAACCCAGAATCCTCAAGAAACAATTGGTGGCTTGTACAGCGGACTTGCGTCACATGGAGGACAGGCGGAGTAAGCCTGCGAGCTTCTGGCACCGCAGGACCGTGCGTCCGCCCCGAAGACCAGAAAAACGCAAGCGCCGCATGTAGCGCACGCAGTACGAAGGTCAAACCAGCTTCTTGCGCAAGGGGTTGTAACTTGCGACGCAGCTTCTGCGCCAAAAGTGGTAAAAAATGACGGCGGGAGCGCTTCAGCAGTTTGTGCTTTAAGCAGCGAACTGGCGGTCGCCCGCGCTTGTGTCGCCGGCGTGATGCTTTCATTCTTGCGCGACTTTCAGAAAGAGTAAGGTGAGTAAGGTGGGCACTATGAGTAAGGTGAGCATTGGAGCTGGCGGGGCCAGGTTGCAACCCTAGCAGCCACGCACCAAAGTTGCAGCAAAAGAGAATCATCACTCTGAAGCTGAACCAAAGAAACCATGCGAGAGCATGTGCGCGTGTAGATATGGACATTGTAACAGCGTTTTCCGTCGACTCAACCAGAAAGGAGTCCGAGATCAAAACGCCGGAAACCACAATCACTCATGATTTTTCCGAGCCGTCCGCCATCCGGTTGCGCTATGAGCGCGGCCTGGGCGCAACCTGACGCTCCAATTTCAGGAGCGGCCCGTTCTCTAATTTGAGCATCAAATGAGATGATCGCGCGTACATCACACGACCTGCATGCTATCAGGTGATGTTATACATCACGCAAAGAATTTACGTGCAACTATCAGGGCAAAAGGTAGCAAAGATTGCCAAGTGAACTTCCAGGAGCCAACTAATGGGACATCTTCTTCAGAATGCCCTATTGGTGGTATAGTGCTAGTGCCGTTCATTGCCGCCCTCAAAATCCAAGCAGTGTCAAATCCTGGCAAACTGTCCACAATGAGCTGCTGCATGAGTGTCTGAGAATCACGTGTGATAATGCCAAAAGCCTGTGACACCATCGCCTGTATGAAACTCTGGCATAGGCGACTCCAAATGGTAAACAGGATCGCGAGAAGCAAACTCAAATGCAGGGACAGTCTGATGAGGTACCAGAGCACTGCTACACAAAAACCTGACGCAGGACGAAACACGTTAGCGGCAAGCAGCGACAGTGGCCCTCGTAAAAGGCAGTCTTGTTCGGAAACGCACCTGACGCCCACGCTCGGCAAAGCTGCAAGCCGGACAGGGCAAGGCCAAGGCTTGGAGCTAAGGTTCCCGCCACAAGGATTCTCAGCACGAAAGGTCACTTGAAAAGCTTCGGGCGGGAACGGTTCGAAGGATGCTTCGCGCCTCGCTCGCGAAGGAGAACGAAACTCGACGCGTAGAAGGTCCGAAAAACTCACACAGGAGCGACTTGCTCGCGGTGGCACGGCTCGCACATGTTCTGCGGGGGGGGGCGCGGCCTGAGAGCACGCGAGCTCGAAAGTAAGCGAAAGGCGAGCATGACCGAGCAAGCTGAGGCCAACGCAAAGGCGAAGTGTTGGACAAGGAGACCTGAGCGTAAAAACGCGCGGGCCAAACGAAAGAGCGACACCTCTTAGCTGGCGCGCGGTACGCGACACGGGCAGCTTGCGGCGAAGGCGTCGACGCAAGGCAGCACGGCGTACCCGCAAAGCCGACACCTGCAGCACAAGAACTCCCGCGAGGGCGCCAACTCTGGCAGGGCGGAAGTTCAGCAGAACTCTCCCGCCGGAGGCGTAGCCTCGGTTCGGCCAACAGTGGCGGTTCTGGGCGCGGCCGTCCTGCGCAACACGCTACGGCAACGACCCGCCCAGCGCGCCTGCTTGCCCTCTGTGGCGTAGCTCCACTTCTCGTTGGAATCTTGCCACCCCAGGCGGAGCCTCCAGAGAAAGTCAAGCGTTTGCGGTTGCGACTAAAGGAAACACAGTGCCTCCCGGACCGCAGCTGTGTGAGAGCACGGCGCACTGCGGAAACGACAGGGCGAAGGACGAGGGTAGACCAAACAAAACGCTCGCAAACGTGCATTTGCTGCACACTGGCTCGCCGCTGCGCCGCGCGGGGTGACGCATGACCTTGGAGAAAAAGCAGCACGGGCAGAGAACGGGAGGCTAGCACGGAGTAAGGCCCGGACTCGCTTGGCCACCGCGCGGTGACGGGAAAAAAGGATCGAGAAAACGCGAGAAACGGCGCTGCGGAGAAAAACTAGGGTGAGTGAAGTTTCATGGGCAGTGGCCTGCCCTGTACTGCGCGCAAGGACTTCGCGCAACCTTGAGTTGTGGGCCGCCCTCCAAGCTGCGCGTGTGGCCTGAAGCTTGTAGGGATTTTGGTCGGACTATGCGTGCAAGGAAAAAGTTGCGGCGGAACCAGACTGTGAGCCTTTAAATTCACAGGCGAAATTAGAGTTTAAGACTAGAGATGATGTGGCATAGAATGCGAAGCGGCGCGGGCGCAACCGGTAAGGTTGACAACGAGAACGACAATGATGAGTGGAGGTTGAGAACGCAGATGTTGACGAAGTGCGCACGAAGTGCTAGATGTGGCAATCACTAAGACTCTAAGACGCTGATGCTGCACATGCTGGTGGATGAAGCGCTGCTTGCGGCGGCGGCGCTCTCTGAGCGTGGCTGCGGCAGGCTGCGCTGGTTGAGCGAGCGGCCTCACGCGCGCGCTTCCCCTTTCAGCAGTGCCGCATTGAGCACCGGACAGCGGAATTCCTACAGACACGACATACTTCGTCAAACTGTACAAGCTGAAAGCAAAGACTAATTCCCTGGGTTCTGACGCAACATGGCCACAAGCTGTCCGTGACGGGCTTCCCTCCGACGTCGTTTGACACGACCGCGCTCAGCTTCAGTCATCCCCTCGCACTGCATCACAAACAGCGCACCATGAAGATTTGTGAAGGTATTACTGGAGGAGGTGTGGGTTGGTTGTTTTTGTTGTCTTGTTGCTGGGCAGAATCGTGGAATATTCGCGGAACCCTTCAAACATTGCGGAACTTTCCTCAGAGCCGCCCCTCGCAGAACCTCGTGGAACCCTCGCGGATTTCTTCTGGAATTTGTGGAAATATATGGAACTGTGAAGCCTTAGGACCTTCCCATAGCCACCCTCGCTTGTCAAACCCTGTGGCAGCCTGTCGAACTTTCCTCACTTCGCAGAACCCCGTGGAATCTTACCTCAGAGCCCGCTCCAGACCACCCCATAGCCAGGAACCTCGTGAAACCCTTCTAAAACCCTTGGTGGATCTGGTGGAACCCTTCGTGGAACCTTACCTCATGGCCGCCCCGGACTACCCCGGAGCCTATCTGGGCTGAGACCCCAAAGCTTTCAGCTGGGGAAAAAGAAGAAGCTGGTGAACCTGACAGGGGGGCCCTGGCTGACCTCTGGTGGAGTCCATGTGTGGGGTCCATGCAGAGCTTGAAGACCAAACCCAACCGCCGAAATCTCCCACTTCATGTTGGCCCCTCTGCCGTTCAATTCGGAAACCGCAAAACCCTTGAATTCCCAAAAAGTTAGAGTCTAAACTCCAACCTAATGGCAATCAAGAGATTAAAACACCCCCTTGAATTTGATCCGGGGAGTGCCCTCAATAGGACGGCCGGGTGCTAAATCGATCCGTGGTAAGGGTGTCTCCGGCCTGGAAACGGTCCATGGTTACGAATGCCTGGTGTCGTGTTGTTTTTTGACAAGGACAAAATTGAGCACACGAACAAACCGTGTGATAGAAATGGCAAGCTATTTTGGATGGCCCGGACGAATTCGGGTGTTGTTGTATTGCGGTTGTTGTTTGTGTTTCTTGCTATTTTGTGTGTTGTTGCTTATTATTATCATTATTATTATTATTATTATTATTATTATTATTATGTTTTTTTATTATTGTATTGTTATTGTATTATTGTTTTTTTTTTTTTTTTTTTTGGGGGGGGGGGCGGGGGCGGGGGGGTTTACGAAGGTACAAAAGGAGTAGTACTAACTCAAGGGCGAGTCTAAAACATTAATACCCTAGCAAAAGCAACCACCCTCACAAAATTCAGCATCCACCAAATCATATTGGCTTGCCACCACTGAGGCCAACGTGGAGTTTCCATTTGACTTGGAATTGCTAAAGCTTCACTTACCCTGCTTTAGGGGTCTGAAGTTCATTTCCAGGCCACCGAACGTGGCCAACCCCAGATCCGCTCCTCCTCTCCCTTGCGGGTGGGCTGAGGGGGTGGCACCCAATCCTCCGGCAAGGGCCGCAGGACCTGTGAATCGCCCGCGGAGAAACTGTGCGCGAACAGTCCGCTGGCAAACAACCTTAATGGGTAGCTTTCCTTTGTGTTAAGCCCCCCGAAAAGATAAACATATTTCCAATATGTCCAGTTGTGATGAATTCCTTTTGAAACCAGCAAGGCAAACACACAATCATATGTATATGTAGACATATAAGCATACGCATAACCTTAACTTAACATTTGCTCAAGCCCCCCTGGGACAAAAGCACTCCAGTGGTGCTAGTTGGGGAGGGAGGGAGCCCATATCAGGGCTTATTTCTGGCCCCATTATTTTACCATGACAGTCACCCGTTAAGTGGTAGGTTGAAGGGAAACATGAAGGGAAACAACCCTGGATTCCTACTTTGATCATCCTCAATACCAGCCAAAGTACTGGGCCCGGGGTTTGTAAACAAGCCAAGGGCTCCTTTGGGCCCCCAGCCCGATCACTCAGCATGAATCGCTGGCGTTCGCAGCTGAAGTCTGGAGGCTGAGATTGGCGGCAAAAGGGCGCCAGAAGTTGGAGACTCGGTGCCTTTTTGGCTTCCAAAGGGGGCGGTCTCGCCAAACCAAAGAAGGGAACCCGTAAAAAATAACACATACTGGGGAACCCACCAGACATGCCTACGTTTCAAGGACTGCTGTAGAACCACCTACCAAAAATGGGAGCCCTGTTGACTGAGCTTTCTGCGCTGCTCAATTGATTTCCTCTCGAGAGTCAAGGGTGGAACCCAGCATTGACTGATTGGTCGATTCTTTAGTTGATGAAGGTGGTGCCAATCTGGAATGCGCCGCTGTTTGTTTTTGGGTGGGGCCCTTATGAACCCTGGCGTCCCCAAACTGATTGATCCGGAATCCCAACTAGAGGAAGCTTGGGTGGGTGGAATCCCCACATGAATGACCCTGATATGCGCTGGGTGTTTGGTTCTGGGAACCCCGGATTAATAAGCCCCTGACTGATTCAGAATTCATAAGGGGGTGTTGCCCTTTGGTGCGGATTCATCACTCCTGGAGGGGAAGGGGGTGATTTATCCTGGGATGTGTTCTCATCTTCCCCTTGGTATCTGCACAACTGTCTGCCCTTGCACGAAGGACGCTGTGCGAAGCAATGGCAAGCACACCCACGTGCGTCCACAACTTCAAAGGGTGCCGAGGTCCAGCGTAATGAAGTGAGGGTGGAACGCGCAAGGCAAGCTGAGCTGTTCAAAATTGCTAATCCAGAATCCCCACCCTGCAGAACCTAAGGTAATCCTGAATATGACGAAGGGGGGAAATTTGTGCTAGCCTTGCAAATCCAAGTCCAAAACCTTGTTGGGTGTGTGTTTCTTTTTAGGTGTTCCTTTAGGTTTCCCTTCAAAACCACCAACGAAAAGGGGTACCCTCAGACTTCCATAGAAAGGAACTATAAAATCAAGGCGAGCACGTTTGGCCCATAGCCCAGGATCGCTAAGCTCGAAAGTAAAACTGGCAGGTGGATCAGCATGTGAGCCCATAGCCCTGCTGAACCCCGCAATACAATGGGCGGCCGAATGTCTATCCAGGCCGAGATGTAATGCATCGATGAGCAGCACCAACCAGGTGGCTGTCCTTTTGGTGGCCGGTTAAAGAGAACAAAACGAGGACCACCACAATTCCTCCCCCCCCCCCTCCAGTGTTTGACACATACCCTCTTTCTAAGGACCGTGGAAGACGAAGAGGGGAACCCAAAAAAAAGAAAACCTGCCCCCCCAAACAAGAAGAAGCTCCAACCTGGCGAGAAAATCCCCCAACTGCCCAGGAAAACAGAAAGGGACCGGCGTTCACCTGAAAAGTCCCAAACACTTTCCAAGGGAACCCCCCCCAAAAAATGAAATCACCACCCATTTTAGAACCTATTTTCGTGGGGCTCTGGGATCTTCACTGCTACGATTTGGCGTTTGACCCAAAACCCAGCGCCGGCCATCAGAAAGAGCATATTATCTTTTCCCCCTCCTTTTTGGGGGGGAACCTAGGACTGGACATTTTCCGGATTTTTGGCGCCACAGGCCATTTCAGCAACGATGGAGAAGAAAACCCAAGCGGCGGCCCTGGGCTTCCCGGCGATGCCCTGGGCCTCCAGCGAGGCCTTCGGCTCAAATTCGAGCCATGGCTTCACGTGCAACCAAAATGCCCCTGACACCCAGTACCCGCCCCTCTTTTTGTTGAGTATCATGTCGACCCTCTACTAGAAAAGGAGGTTTCTTTACTCTGGAAACCGTGTTTTTTTTTCAAAAAAAAAACAAGAGAAAAAGTGGGTATCTGCAGTTTGGAGTAGGGGATAGGCATCGGACCGAACAGGACCCTTCAAAAGAGCGGGGGGGTGGCCTCTTTTGGCCATGGGTCAAAATCCAAATCGTACCCCCAGTGAACATCCCAATCCCCACTAAAATAGGTTGTAAAATGGGTGGTGCAACTACCCCAAAATGGTACCATTGCTTTTGGCCCACAGCCCTTTCCCCTTCAAAACCACGAGACAAACACAGGCGCCAACCAAAATAGCTGCAGGTTTGGCCTTTCACAAAAAGAGGCAAAACAAGGGTGTCAACTAAAGAATAACAGGACCAAAGACCCTCCCATGCAGCATGGGAACCTACCAGAGACTCGAGAAATTGCCCTTTATACAAGGCAATGGTCCAAATCAGGACCCCCTGTGAGGGTCCATGTTTGTCAACAGGAGGGTAATAGGTCAATCTTTTAGGAACCTTGACAATGTGGATCAAATAAAGGAAGCCAAAAGGCAAGAAAAGGTTGGATCGCTTTGGGCAACTGAGCAGGGAATGGTATCGTAAGTGAACTGTCCAACTGGTTTCCTATTGGATCCATTGCATCTAAAGGCAACCGGGAAGTTCAGTCTTCTCTTTTTGGGACCCCCAGCAGTAACTCAGAAGAACAACTGTGACCCGATATCGGATCCCCGCGTCGTGGAACTGGTCGGCTTAGGGATCATTCAAGTTGGAGCTTCTTTTTGGCTTGCACAGCTGAACGTGACTGCCTTGTACTTGCCTTGTGGGTTCAATGGAAACCCAACCACAAACCACCCAAACATCTCAATGCCTCAAAAACCAACCATACGGGTGAACCCCTCTTAAACCACAAACCACCCAAACCACCCAAACGCCTAAAAAAAAGCCACAAAAAATGAACTGGACAGCTAGGCAGTCAAAGACTGCCAGCAGTCCACTTCCGAACCAAAAACAAGGTAGCAAAATGTCTCATCGTTTGTAGGTTTTGAATTTGTTCAGGGAGTCGGGGGGCTCACCCGAGTTACTGCATGGTTTTTTAGCATTTTCCCTTGTGACGGCAAAGAGGCACCCCCTTCCCGCGCTTCAAAGGTTCCTAAACTTTCTGGTTTCCATTCAAAAGATCACAGGTTCAAAATAGCCCGGGCTTTCACGGTGGCTAAAGTGGGCATGAATCTTGGGCGAGAATCCATGTCCACAAACCGCCTCTGAGAAGAGAACGCGCCAAAGCATCGCCCCTTCCCATTGACCCGCTACAGCTTCAATCCAAACTACCTGAGGGCTTGGGCGGTTTGGTCTGCAGGCTTGGGCCAGGATGGTCTCATTTCCCCAGCGAAGTAAAAGGTTGACACAACAAGGGAACGTAACAAACGCGTGGGAACCCAAACCGGGGAACCAAAAGGTCAAATTTCAGGTTCATTGTCTTCGTTCGGGCAACTGAACCCCGCTAAGGTAAAGAGGAAGAGGGAGAAGAATCCTAGTATGAGACAAACAGAGAACCCCTGCAGGCTCTACAAAAAGGGGGCGCAAATCCCCAAACCACTCCAAATCAATTCACCAATGAAGAGTTACCTAAAAAATACTAGTCAAACATCCCTGTGGATGACCATCTCTAGCCAAAGCCCCGACACCAATTCAAACAGGTCTGGCTTTGTTTGGAGTTGGTAGCTCTATGTTGGTAAGCGTTTAAAGGGAAACCAAAGGAGCCCAAAAAATTGACACTGGAAAACCAAAAAGTCCAAAAAAGCGGTTTTGAACAACTGAGCATGGAACACCCCATCATTTTGGGCGCCCCAGTCTAAAGAAAGACACGCCCAAACCGATATTTGTGTTTTCCCGTGACCCGAGTTCTTTCCGTCTGAAGCTGTCCGGCCTCAAGGTCTCGGAGTTGGCGCCAGAAGCCCGAGTTGGGGCACACGATGTTCCTAGCGAAGGAAACTAAACAACTCACCTGAGCCCTTCAAAAAGGCTGGTCTAGGTCCTCCAGATTTGAGAGGTTAGAATAAGGGTACCAACTTTTTCAGAAGTCAATTTTAGTAAGGGAACCCTCCCCAAAAAAAGGGTATAGGGGCACTAGGGGACCTAGTGGTTGTCTGTTCTAGCCATCAAACAAGGGGCACCCTCAAAAAGACAGCCCCATATTTGCCATCCCAAGTTATTGTCAGCTTCTCCTTGATGTGCGGTTTGGTGTGGTGGCTTGAGCCTTAGAAGAGCACATTCCTCATTTGAGTTCAAAAGAAACCAGGGTTCAAAACCCAAACCACAAATCCAAAACGCCCACCCCACTTCCGATTGGCCCCAAAGTCACCGAACATGGCGGTAAGGAATGCGCCTAAAATGGTCCAACCCCAAAAAGGGATGAAAGGACCACGAGCTCGCGAAGTGATTTGCCCTTACCTGGTTTGCGGTCTTGGATTCACACCTTTTCAGGTGGGCACACGCGCAAACAACCCCGGAACAACTCCAAACCATTGGGCTGCAAACCACCAAGGAGGGAAGCTGATCGCATATCTATACCGTATACCAGCCAAAAAAATGGGGCTGAAACGGAAAGGACTGGACACATATAAGAGCAAATGCCTCTGAAAGAAAAAAGAGAGCTCACCAACCCCCTGTGAGCAAAAGACAGACTGGTAAATTCATCTCTCCTGAAACAAATCCGGGGCCCTCCACCACCCCCCCCAGTGTGGCTTCAAGTGAAGGCAACTCAGACCCAGCCCGGACAGTTGCGAGGTTCAGCTCGCGCAAGTCAAGGCATGATCGGCCCGAAGGCGGTTGTTCAATTCACATGTATGTTCGCCTCCGCGTGCTCAAGAACGGGTAGTCAACAGCCAGCATCTTGCCATAAAAACTCAGCACCTCGTGGGGGGAAGTGACATCTGCGTCAAGGCCCGCAAAGGGTCTTGCCGCTGCCAAAATGAATGCAATGCCACTTGAAGGGGGCCTTCCATTTGACGGGGGGGGGGGGGGTTGGGTGGCAGGGGGCCCCCCGGCAGGTTCGTTTCACCCATTGCTTTCTGAAGCGAATCTACTCGATGTTTGTCTTTTCGCTTTTCTTCCTTAGAGCGGGGAATCACAAAGCTAGACAGGCTCACTTCTTCTGAGTCTTCCAAGGAAAGTTCCAATCTATACCTTCACTTCAAACAAAACAGGGAAAACGTGGAATTTTGCCGCCCATCATCCGGGGCCCCCTTTTTCTGTGGTCAAAACGCCCAAACGCCCTTGTCTGCGCCCCCCCTTCCCCCCTTGGCCCCCCTTGGGCCAAGGGGAAAGGGGACCCCCTTGGCCCCCCTTGGCCCCCCTTGGCCCCCTTGGCCCCCCTTGGCCCCCCGGTCAAAGGCCTCACCGCGTGGATCTTGCGGTGGGCGGCCTCCAGCTTCCAGTGCTCCTTCATCATCAGATACCTCGCGAGCGGAATCCCGGAAGGCCCGACCTTCCGAGCCCACGGATGGGCTCGGTTGATTTGCATCAGAAGAACAAGAGAGTCACAATCAAAACCTGGTGCAAAAATGGTTCACCCAGAACAAGGTAAAGAATTAGAAAGGCGGATATCCGCAGCTACTTCTGGTTGGGATCGTCCCTAACCTTCACGTACCCGGGTTTTGATTGTGGCTCAAGTCTTGGAGCAGTGGGTGTTCTTGCTTGCGAGAGCTGCAGGGCATGCGAATTGGAATGACTCCCAGAAGAACCATACAACCGGTGGTTTCTTTTAAGGGGAATTTTGAGGTTCATTCCCTCATTCCCTACTGAGCACCAGCAAGATTTGGTGGCTGACCCCTGTTTGGGATTGACAATCTTTAGGGGAAAAAACAAATGCGCCGGATGTGCTAGTGATTGAGCCCAACCGAGTGAACAATGCCACCCACATAGAAAGCAAGGGAAGCGAAAATAAGCTAGAGCAACACAGGGGACAAAAGAAACATCTAGAGCAAATGGAGAGAACAACTTTCGGGTCACAATGCAGCCTTGACTGGGTGAGTGGAAACCTCCAGTTTGCTTGTGTTCTCGCTATTTTGTGGTAAGATAGATTAAGTAACCCCTGCTCATTTGGGGGCGTCTTTTTTGAGAGTTCCCCTTGTTTGACAACTTTAAGGGGAACCAAAAGGAAAACCTGTATTTTGGGGGGGTCCCCTAAATCCAGTTCTCTTAGAACTCCAGTTCACCTTGTCCAAGGGCGAGCCTTTCTCTGTTCCAAACCCGACCGCACGGAAAACAATTTATTCACCTTACCCCCACGCCAACAGGCTTGCGCCACTTGTTTAAGCCATTAACCACTACTCAGTTGCCAAAAGCCCCCAAAACTCTGAAAGGTTGATCTATCTCTTGGGACCTTTACTTAAAGTTGACCACAGCAAAAACCACAAGGTGCTAAAAGGTGGATTCGCTTTGGGCAACTGAGGCTACTGTGTTCATCTTCGGGCCCCTTTTGAAGGACTCTGAAAGTTGCCGACCTGCTCGACCCCCGACCCCACCAGCCCCCTCCTTCACGTAAAGTCGGCACACACCCCTAAGCCTTGGTCAAAATTCAACCCGCAACCCAGGATTTAGATATCTTCCTTGTTTCGCCCTTGTCAAGAAAGATGTCAAACGTCGCACCTAGACCCACCCTCCATTTGCCAAAAATGACCGGAATACATGTTTCCAGTAATATATAGATCGCCTTTAAGCAAATGAAAGGCAAACATGTAAGATGTTGCCAAGCGCTGACCCAAATCATTTTCAAGGGTGGTTGCTTGGTATCACAGAAGCTGGATCTAAACCTGTGTGATCTCCAGTCCCACGAACTCACTTGCTGCGTGGATTGGCCAAAACAAGTCCGAACTTTTTACTTTCAACCCCCCCCGACAAACCACGAGCCAGGCTGCGCCATGCACGACGTGGACGCGCGGCTCACGCCGGCAGCGCAGTGGACCACCACCCCCCCTTTCGCGCGGCCTGCCTCGAGCGACGCCAGCGAGCGACGCCAGCACCCGGGTACCACTGCTTTTAAATGCACCGTGCCAAGGGGACTTTGGACATGGGAAAATGCAGTTGTTGGGGTGTGCTCATGGGTCTATCTTTTGCTGAAGGCGCCCGTGTTTTGTTTTGCATTTTTTTGGACGGGGCGGATGCCCCCTCGTTCAAGTGGGAAAGTTCTTTTCAAAAACAAAAGTAGGCAAATGAGCCCAACAATGAGGGACACAGGGACACATGTCTAGAGGGCGTCCCATGGGAAACCACCAGGGAGACAACCACCAAAAAATACCGCGCAATTACAGCAAAACAGCAGGGCGATTTATAGGATACATCCACAATCACCAGTTAGAAACCCTTGAAGCTAGCAACAAAGCGCTATAAGATACTAAAGCAAGGTCACGACCCTTCTTATGACACCATGGTTTTGCGTCTGCCTGAAATTCTGAAAGCTGCAGGGTATGTATTCCACATGTTCAAACATTCTTTCAGACTTCGCAAACTCTGAGTGTTGGAATGACCTGCGACCCGCGTGACTTCGTATGGTTTTCTCAAATTTACAAGGCGGTTAGCGCTGACTGCTCGGCGCGCGCGTTTATTTTTTGCGGGTACATGGATATGAGGCGTCTGACGGATCAATGGTACTGGAAGTTGCTGGTATGTGTATTGTTGGTATTGGTGCGCGCGAGCCCCCTTTCTATGCTATGGGGAATGCAGTGAGCGGAATACTACTAAAGAGACGGGCCTTGGGCCACAATGGGCATGTGTGAAAAGCGATTGCCAGAAGGCCACTGGTCTGCAAAAACACAGAAGAAACAGACACAAACTCCTTTTGACTTTTGACATTCAGCTATTAATTATCTCAAGGATCTATGCCGTAGCTATGTTTTATACTGTCGTAGCCGTTGAGAAAGATGATTAGATCGATTTCGAAAATATCAAATTAGTCACTCTCTATTGCGACTCGAACATGTTGGTTTCGTCTTGTATTTACATAGTTTGTACAAACTGAAAGAAACTGCGTTCTAATTCGCGCACGGAAAGCGGCACCAAAAGTAGACACCTGAATCATGCCCAAATGATTGTGCATCTCGTGAGTTGTGAAGATGCATTGGCTTGAAAAGCATGGACTGGTGTGTCCTCGTGAAACTGTCGACCCACTCGCTTCAGAAAGGATACTCTTGTAGGCGGTGAAGATGATATGACAAGTGGAGTAGTCTTGTAGGCCATGAGTTCAAAAGATCTCGAGGATCTCGACTGGTTGGTGACGTCGTTGTGCCAGCGGTGGTTGCGAATTCGTTTGCTGATCATCGCTTGGGGAAGCGGATCATGTCTCGCGGCTTTCAGCGCCACCCCTGGTTGTGATTATGCGCTTGCTGTGGCTTCTCTCGGATGAATATCCTTCATTCCAGCTCTTGCTGAATCCTTCCGTCCACTGTCCCATGCTGATTTGCCAAACCCTGCCCCAAGATCTCCCGGCTCGTTTTTGCCTTCGGCCAACAAGAAAACCACCGCCCCCCTCCTCAACCCCCAAAATTCCTGGGGTCGCAAGTGCGGTCGTCAGCTAAAACAAGTACTGTAAGATCAAACACATAGCAGGGGCCGTGACAGGATACACCCAACTTCACCCGGTCGAAATCCTACAAAGGCGGATGAAGGGCAGGCTCAATTCACGGGCATTTGCCGGCAAACAGCTTGTCCGCGGCTGGTGCGGTATTATTCCACATGGTAGCCGGGCCAACATCCGAACTCCGAACAGTCCTCTCCTGCGCGCGAGTGATTAGCAGCAAAGTTTGCACCGCAACTGCCTTTCAAGTGAGCAAGGTCCACTACTGGACCTATACTGTTGCCTACAGCATGGAAGCAAAAACTGGCGAGGATTCAACAAATAAACAGTCCCCCGCCTAAAAAAAGGGCTCCGAGCGAGCGCGCCTCGATGAAATCCGCGATGTCCTGAAAGTGCATGCTCAAGTTGCCTCGGCTCTTCTCTCGAAGCCCGGCTTCTTGGCTCTTCGTCCCCGCCGTGACCAATCGCGGGCGAATCGAAGGGTGTTCTCATCGTAAATGGCCAAGGGTGCTTGACACCACACACACAATTGAAAAACGCAAAAAGAAATAAGACCCCGGCGTGCGAAAAGTCCCGTTCCTTCCGGGATTTTGCAACCCCCCGCCGGGCTGGGTTCCAAACCCCAAGGCTGTCCTGCCCTATATGGCAGGCGATGTGCCCTTCACTGGGCACCCGTTGGCTTGCTCTGGAAGCCCGGCTTTGTCCCCGCAAAAGGCGCGAGGGGCTCCCCTGATGAAATCAACTGAAAGCATCACCTCGGTTTCTCCCTTTTCAGCTGATCAACCTAACAAGAGTGCGTCTTTTGTATGCCCCCAAATATGGATTTTGGGCTTCCTTTTGGTTTCCCTTTAAACCAACCTGAAAATAGTACGCAGAAAAGTGACACCCATCCCATATTCATATAGCTCACCCAACTTAGCTTCTTGACTTGCCTCAACGACACAACTGTATCTATTCGATGTCCCTTTTCCACCGCTGTTCAAGAAGGATGCCGAGCATCAATCAACACAGGCCCAAATGAGCAGCGTGCAAAACCCAGGCTCTGGTGACTTCTGGCTCCACCGACATGGTTATAAAGGCGCATGCAACCCTTGCCAAAACCTCTACAAAACCAGGTAGTAGGACCACCTGCGAGCCTGGCCAACAGGAATCGCAGCTGGGCACCTCTCAAATGGGCGAAGGCACAGTCCCGAACATTGCACTTTCCCAAATATGTTCAAGTCCAGGAGCTCAGGTGTTTTGTCCATCAGGCGGTCTTTGGGTGTATCCTTTGAGGAACCCCTTTCAGCAACCCTAAGAAGGTTCCTCCAGAACCTGTGAGGATGCGGGGCCATCTTCCCGCTAGTTCTCAATTGACTCGGAATGTAACTTCCTACTTCCTGAGTCGGTTGGCCCAAAATATCTAAACTTTTTACTTACCACTACACGATCATGCCAAAACTTATAAAATCCAGGAACTCAGGGCTGATAATAAGGAATACTCGGAATGACCCCTGCAAACCAAGTTGCAGTTTGCTTGGTGCCAATGCACTGCCACTGGAGGCCCAACAAGGGTGGAACTTGCAATGAGGGACCCCCGGTCTGCATTCCCAAGCCAACTGCTTTTTTTTTGGGGACTGTTCCCCCAATCAAAGGTTGAGGCGTTCTTCAAGAACTTATGTGGCACCGACTCCCAGGTGCCAAATGGTTGCTCTTTTTGCAGGTTAGTGGGGTTGTAGGCTAACGATTCAAAGCCAAAACGGCCGCCGGCGGCCATTCCCTTGTTGCCCGAGAATCAACAAATGACGGCAATGGCAAATGCAAACATAGACAGGAGGAGACCAGCTGGAGGCCTCCGAGTCCTATAACAGTCAAATCGGCTTCGTGTCAGTGAGCATGGTTTGGTGGTTGGGGGGTGTTCCCATGAACCTTCAACAAGAACCAGCTCAAATCCAACATCCCCAATTATCCCCAACTCAACTGAGGGGTACAGCAAGCCCCCGAACTGGCTGGTTTTCCCTTTGGCTCCCGTCCAACCCAAAACAAGCTGCCCTAAGAGACGCGCCCAAGCGTTGCTGCTTCGTGGAATGCGACCACGATCTCCGCCCCGAACAACCGCATGGCTCAGCTCAATCTTCGGCTCCGAGGCGCAATCCTCGCAGTCGTCCGCCCCGACGATCTTCACCTCGAAGAGCTCCGGCAGCTTCGCCAGCTCGATGCCCTCCTGCCGGCCCTCGGTTTGCTCAGCGTGCGCGCGAAGCGCGCGCCGTCCACCGGACCACCCGGCCGTCAAAGGGCAAAAAGTAAAAGGCCAGCCAAAAGCTGACAGGTTGGAGTCTCTAAGTTGCTTGGAAACTTCTTGGTTGGTTGTCGTTGGTTGTGCTCCCATCGCAAGAGGCATCCACACAAAGCTCAGAAGCAGGCAAGCAAGCAAAAAGAAAACACTTGGACAAAGCAACGATAAGCAATGGAATGGAGGGGTATCCCGACCAAAGGGGATTTCTTCAAGTACAGCCTTCGCTTTGTGGTGTTGAGGGAGGCATGCGAAGCAAGACATGCTACCCAAGACAGGAAGTTCACACACGGCCGGGGCGACGTCGCATCTTTCTAGAATCCTTGCAATGTTTTCTCGTGGCATGACCGAACCATTGGACAGTCCTATGTTGCTTTTTTGGCTCGGCTGCCCAAAGGACTCTCAGAAATACCAGGCAAAGCTTTTGGAGACCTTTGCGGATGCGAACCCAAGGTAATTTCAGGTCGCTTCGCTTTGAAGAATACCGGGTCTAAGATGGCTATCAAGGTTTAGGCCTTGAACAATACCTCGAAACCAACAAAAAAGATGCCGGTTTAATCCACCAGCAAAGCCAAAAGGGCCCAGGGCAGAAAGGCCCAGTAGAGAGCTTGTGCTGCCTCTTTCAGGCCGCTTTTGATCTGAATCAACTAAAGGCGCGTAGGGGGGGGGGGGGACCAAAAAGCCCAGCCTTTCATGGCAAAATTCCGCCCACAATTCATGGGATTGAACCTTCAACACTCGATTCAGTGGATGGACAAAATCCTGAATCGGTTCGTAGGTGACTTGCCCCATGTATTCATAGGACTTCAGCCGTCCCAACTGGTGCTAGGCGTAGGTTCTCCGTATCAAACTCCATTCGCTTCGCCCAAGCGGCATGGTGGGGCTGCAATGAGTATAGCCGGTCTTGGGCAGCGTTCAGGATGCACTTGATGCCTGCCGCCACAAGCCGCAGCAAGCCACCCACCGCAAACCAAAGGAGCTCCGTTTTTGCTTTTTTGGGCGCATCGCTCAACTGTTTGTTTCTTTTTTGGCTTGTTGGCATGGAGGAATACCGCAAGGGTGTGTGTTAGTGTGTTGTTGGTGTCTTGGGGATTTTTTGTTGGATTTGTTGGGTCCTTTGGATTTGTTGGGGCTTTGAAAATGGCAACCCCCTAAGGCCCTCCACTACCAAAACACGTATATAAGGTTCCATGACAACTTTGGATTAATCAAACAAAATGAGAACCATGCTAATCCCGTGGAAACCTGCACAAAGCGGGACATTCCCGGATGAATAGTGTATAGTGTACTGTTGTTGCTCAAGGTGGTGACCATATGCTTGTCTCTGGCCCTGCCTTCGACAAATCAAGTGGTTGCCACTTTGCCGCTAGCTTGGTTTGGCCCACGTGGCTCGCGGCGCTCCTAGGCCCCACACGCCTCGTTGTGTTCCCGCGTTGCTGCCCGATGTCAAAAGATGCCCCTGGCCCGCGCCCAGGAAAGGCAGGCCCGCGGCTTGTGGCAGGGGCCAACTGAAAGGGCCAGGCGCCCTGGAGGCTCCTGACATCTCTCCGCGAGAATTCAGCGCTCGGCAGGAGCTGGCAAAGCGCACCGGTGGTGGAGGACCTGCAAGCACCCAGCAACTTCAAGTGGATACGCCGTGTTGGTCATAAGAAGCGCGCAGCCAACGCATCTGCCACGATCGCATTCAGGTCGGATCCAACTTCCTATCTATATGCCTGCTCAGCTGGATTTCATCTAAAGGCAGCTGTCCGTATTTTGAGATGTGGGCGGAAGCCGCCGAGCCATTGGGCGCCCGGCGCCGCCCAGGAACCGGGAGTCCAAACACCCTCTGGCACGCAGCTTGGAATCTTATACCTGAACCTGGAAAGCCCATTTACCCGTTTCTTCCCATTCGCAAATGTTCCACACAAAAAAAAGTACCCCTCCGGCCGACCCCAGAAATTGCCAATATATCATTTGTAAATTACCCAATATACTAAACCAATGCCAAACTCTCCAGAAACCAATTGAACTCAGCCAAGCTCCCCAAATGCGTGTATTCGGGACCACCCTGGCAATGATCAATCAGGCTGCCGTTGTAGATCAACTCACAAAAACCACGCACCTATGGAAGGAATTCAAGCATATGTAGGAAGAGCAAGGCAAGCCTGGTAACCCGACTGCTCACCTGCAGTGCGCTTTGGTGTCAGTGAACTTCGCTGACTACAGCTGGATTTGCATGCTGGTTCACACACTTGGAACAAGTTCCCATTGAGTTCCATCAGGAATCTCCACAATTCCAACACTTGGATATTCAGAGTAGTAATGATGCGTACCTTGGAAGTAAGAGCCTCCATAGGGATCTTCATTAATCGCTTCATCGCTGACCGGTGAACCCCGAGGCATCGAAAACGGGCTTGGCCAGTGCACGAGGCTCCATCGCGGGGCGAACCTTTCGATCCCAAGTACTTTTTGACCCAAGTGTACTGGGCGATGTAAACTTTGGGTCATACACATGGGTGTGGCTCAAAATGAAACAGGAGGGGTTACGCAGGTTTTGGTCCATGTTTCCACTCACCAGGGTTCCATTTTGGTACCGGTTTTTTGAGCCACGGCCACATGTTCCCCAAGCGCTTCTTGGTTTTGTATGCAAAAAAGGGCTGAGGGACACCCACAGGGTGCGAACCGCCCGAAGGCGGTTCAGCCACACGCAGCTTTCCGAGCCCGAGTGATCCGGCACGCGGCCGAGCCGCACGCTTTTTTTGAAGGAGCGCGGGCCAAAATGGCCGAGGTGTGTAAGATATTTTAAGGATTCCTGACCCAAAGGGCACACAGATGTCCTGGAATCAGGGCCAAACACGGCCTGAAGCCGGCACTCCGATCCAAGGAATTTGCGGCCTAACTCAGGTCGCGAGGCCGAGGGATCGGCAAGGCTAGATTCAGGGGCCTTGGTGACTCGCTTCTGGAGTGGAGTGGCCCAAAATGCTGGAGCAAAAAGCTGGGGGCGTTTCCGACTCACTTCCGATGGAGCGGAGTGGCCCAAAAAAGGTAACCAAACTGTATGCTTGCCAGCTGAAATGGCCTTCCCAAACCAGGAACTCCGGGACCTAACCCCCCACCCCCCCCCCCCCCTCCATGCCCCTCCCAGTTTCCCTGAACGGCGCCTAGCTGATGCAAGTACTTGTCGTCGTGCAAGGCATCCACGCCGCAAATGTAGAAGCCCTGCGTGCACGTGTTGAAAACGGTTGGAGCCCTAAAATGGCTTCGGTCTTCCTTTAGTTTCTCTTGAACACCCACCATCCAAGGCTAAAGACCTCCCGCCGTAAAAGAATATCATTTTGCTGGCTGGGGCATATGAAGGAAACCCGAAAGGGCCTAGGGCAAAAATTGGTGAGGTAAGGTTAGTAATTGTCCACTATGTGTTTCCAAAAACATGTCTACATAGCCCAGCTTTCCAGTCGTTTTGGGACTGGGGTGCTCCCGTTTCACCCTTGAAGTAAAGGGAGATCAAGAGGAACCAAACCACATTATGGTGCCGTAATTTTGAGAAACACCCAGTATGGGAATCCCTAGGTTCCCTTCTCGCAAACCGGTGGAAATTTCACTGGACGATGCGAACAACATATGAAAGCGGAATCCATGTTGTTCAGGAAAGCTGACCAAGGACTAAACCCATCCGAGGCCGCTTCGGCACCTCAGCAAACCCCCAGCGCCATAGACCTCCCTTTCAGGGACTGGGGAGCTATGTCCCATCAAACCCGCCAGGTAATGCTTGGCTTGTCCTACGCTCGTCCAGGGGTAATAACATATTTCAAACCCCTCAACCGTGCTCCAGCTTGTTTTTTTTGGGGGAGGAGGGGTGGTGCGTAGGCCCTTCCCTCAAGAGCAGCGGCCGCTGCCCGTCGCAGCGGACGCTACCATCCAGACTTCTGATTGAGTGCCCTCTTTGGCTGTTACTTCCTGAGCGGATGGGCCCCAAACAGTCCAAACTGATGGTTTACCACCAAAACGGTCTTCCCAAAAGGTACAAAGTTTATCAAGGGAAACTCCGGGAATTTGTTGAGCCAGGGCCCCCAGACAAGGAGGGGATGGAGATATTGATTTGACGGCGGGGCAAGGTTCTGAAAAAGAGATCCCACCGAGAAACAGGGACTCCCGCCTAAAGAAATCAGTCAACCAACCTCAGAAACCCATCCATAGTCGCAGGTGCGATTCCAGCCTCGTCAATCCTATGGATGCCTCAGATGGGCACTGCTAGGGTCCGATTCAGCCCAAAGCCCGGTCGGTTGTTCAAAAGGTTCAGACCTGGATGTTCGACCAACGTCAGGGAAGCATATTTTACCGTCCAGAAAAGGGCAAACTCTTTGCTTTCCACCAAAAGGGTCTTCTCAAAAAGCAAAAGCAGTTCACGAACTCGGCAGGGATCCGGATGCATGACAACACCTGAACATTGCAACTTGTCAATGGTGGTGTCCCCTTATGTTGGTGGAAAAAAAGGCCATGTTTCTAATGGGCAAAATGTATCTTTTAAGGAGCCCTGCTCAGGAAGTGAGCTTATGACCATGGAAATAGGTGGAACATCCAAAGAGTCCAGCACTACCCCTGAACTCCCTGCAACCCTCACGGAACCCTCCCTGAAAGCTTTCAGCCCCCCCCCAAAAAAAACACCTTTGCTTTCCCTAAACGCCGACACAGACATCCGCAAACCAAGACCGCACCTTGCTTTCCCTTTAATGGCCGAGCTGCTCTTTCCAGCGCCCATCTCTCTCGGCCGAAGGTCGCTCACTCGAAGGGCACCGACCAAAACGCTCTGGAGGCGGGGTTTGACTTGCGTCCAAACGGTGGTGCCACAGGTTTTGCGTTTGGAATGCGTTCCGAACATCTCTCTGGAAGTTTCCGATGGAATCGCTGAGCCACAAGGGCCGCAACCGAAATTCTCGCCCGGCCGAAGGCACCCCCTTGCGAAAAGGGTACACCTTGACGCAGGGACCAAATCTGGCTCGGCATGCTCGGCCAAGGTTCATATGCAGCCGGGAAAAACGGCCGTTTCTTGGGTATGGGATTGGGAGAAATGGAAGGCATATATCATATACCCTGACACATGAAGACATGCATCAAGACATGGAAGCGTTTGTTATATATTCCCTTTTTGGATGTCAGCTCCTATTTTGAAAACCTTCAAATCTGTGCAATGTGATGCGCGGGTCATCAGCGTGTCCACTGTGCTTGGAAATGGAATACTCAGCCAGCATACCTGCGTCAGGGGGTTCAAAAGTGCCCCAAGCCAAGAAGCTCGCCCTCTTCTTTTGCACGCCGGAGACCCCTCGCCTACAAGTGGTGCGCGAAGACAAGTGGTCGGAGCGCTTGCATCGCATCTCACGGCGCCGACAAATGGGAGCCATGCAAGCACGAGACAGATTTTTGGCATCTGAAAACTCGCTCGCCCAATGGACCGGCACTCAAAACGTTCGGAGCCAAAGCTTACCTGGACCGTCTTGCCGTTGCAGCCTCTCCGAAGAAGGCTGATTTACACGCGTGTGTATATAAATAATATATATATATATATATGTATTTTTTATTTATGTGTGTGTGTCCTTTTCGTGCATGAGAAGGTCAGCTCCTGTCCAGATTCCGATCCGGCATTTGGGCAACCGAGGAAATGCAAAAGGGAACCTCGCCGCGGGCTCGGCGGAACTCGACGCGGCTCCGAGTCGCGGCTTTGACGGCGCGACGGGGGGGACATGGGCTTGTCGTCCTTTCAGGCTCCCCCTTATTTGGTTTTAAAAGGGAAACCAAAAGGATAACATCGTTGCGCCATGTTGGTCCCCTGAAGTTGCAATGACCTGAACTGAAGCATCCCCTAGTTTGGGGCATCCCGACTTTTGATAAAACCCCTGTTGATTCCCTGAGAACCAGCAAAAGGATCCAAGCATAGCCTTGGTTGACGTTGGAAGGGGAGCAAAAAAGTGATAATTTTAGCAGTCAAGCGGGGATTTCCCACTAAACCACAATGAGCAAAAATGTCTACAACAATCATGTAGCAGGGTTCCCTACCTCCCCCCGTACCACAGGAACCAAATCCCTTACATGGGGCCAAAAAAGAGATGCTTAAAACCCACAAAAAGGCCGGGAATCCTGCAGTGCCCCAAGAAGGGAAACACAACATAAGAACCCCGATATTACTATATGTCTCTGAGAGCAAAGGTGTGAAAGTAATGTTAACCCCGGATGGATAAATCCCTGGTTGATGTGGGGATTCACTTTTGGAGGGAACACCCCCCTAAAAAAATGGGACGGGTTTATTAAGCCTGGGTCAATGACCTGAGGTCCCTCCCTGGCACTTGGGGCGCTTCGATCCCAAGCGGATCGCGCGCGTTCTCATCCGTGCTGCGCCGCTGGCGCGGCCGCCGCGGCCGCGGCGTCGTCGATCCGCCTGCGGCCTGGCGAGGGAGCCGACCCCATCCCCAAGCACCCCTCCCAGTCCCCCAGAAGCCTTCCATTCTAGGGATCCTTCCTTCTAGAAAACCCAGGGAAAACGGCTGGTTTCTGAAAAGAGCGATGGTTGAAAAGAATCGGGAATCAACCCTAGAAAACACAAAACAAAACAGACCCTCTTACAAGGCTTTAAGGTTCATTTTGCCCAACATGTAAAGGAAACTTGGGGGAGGGAGGGGTACAGGAGCGGGGGGAGCTGAATCCTGTGACAGTGGCGAGCCGGTGGCTGGAAAGAGCCTCAAGAGCAAAGAAGAATTGGAGGTTTGCTTGGTTTGCCGTTTGCCCCCGTCCACCATGTATGTTTACCTCTAGGTTTTACATGACGTTTCTCCACCTACAGTACCGTGATCGCAAACTTCAACAATTACGCATCTTCTTGCTTGGTCTCTTTTTCGGCAGAAAAATAACAAAATATTTGGTATTTAGCACCCGGCGATGCACAACAAATTTGCCCACATCCTTTCCTCGCACTTTTCGCTCATGTCCGCGTCCACCCTTCGGCGCGATGTGCCGAAGGGCACTTGTCACGCGTAGCCGCCATTGCCTGCAGGGTTCAGCGCAGTCAAAACTCCGAAGGTATCACATCTGCACAGGATTGGAACCTGCAATCTTTGGGCTGCATATGTGGCAAACTGTTCTTGAGAGCGTGCGCTCCTGAAATCAGAGACGCCCTCACGACTTGCTTGGGCGTCTCCAGTCATTTGGGCTTGAGGAACCCCACCAAGGGGTTCCCTTCATGGGAACCCAAACAATGTCAAGGGGCACCCGGGCTTTGATTGTGCTTCACATGACCCTCCATTTGCGTCAGTCCCCTGCAAACAAAAGAACGTACTAAGAACGTATTTCCAGTGGTGACAGATCAAAAAAACGCACTCCCGTGTGTTCGGGCGCGCCTGGCGTGGAATCTTCTTGAAAGGCCCGGCGCTTCTTGTCCGGGTGCAACGCGAACCACCAATTCAGGATGATGTTCCGATCATCGGAGCCCTCCACCTGGGGCTAAACCCCCAGGCAGACTTCAACCAATAGGGGTTGATTCCTTCAAACGTGAAATGAACCCCTGGGTTTAAGTCAACCTGCAAGCAAGTCTAAGAAATGCGAACCTGCCTGGATAATGAGTCTAAGAAAAAATAAATAACATTTGGGGTGGCAAGGGGGGTCCCTTTTCTCACTTGAGTGGATGGGTCAGAAGCGGACACTTTTGGTGCTCAACTTCCAGTGAACTGTCTCACGTCCCGAGTGGATGGCCCAAAACAAGTCCAGACTTTGATTTACAACTAGAATAGTACTCCCAGAAAGTATAAAGTCCAGGAACTCAGGAAGTGAAGCTTCCTGTGAAGTCCAACCTTGAGAATATTGGAGTGTCTTGCATTTGTCTTTGGACCACGAGATAACGCATATTTCCAGTCGGCTTTGAAGTCTTGACTCCTGGTCTTGACTCCTTGGCCATTGCAGGTCAAGAAATCAACTTGGCAAAAACCGGCAAAACCGTCAGTCTTTTTCAGCGGTTTGATGGCTGATCTGAGGGATCCAAGAAAGGAACCGATCCAAACCCTTCAAAGGTTCCAAACGCAAACTCAGTTCCCCAGCTTGGACCCAGAAATAAAAGGTGATCACCTTAAGGGGACACTGAACAAGCAGTGACGCATTTCGGGGTGGCTTGGAGCAAGCTCCTTTGAAAGGGAGCCTCCATGTTGGACAGCAGGGTAAACTCGCGTTTTGGGACGGAAAAAAGCGAAGCGCATGAAGCGCCTGGGGCCCCCCGCACAATGCCACCAGCAGGCGGGCAAGTAGAGCAGATCCCCAGGGCCTACCTCGGAGATGCGCTTTGGAACCCGGCTGAAAAGAAGGAAAACAAACAGGGAGAAGACCGCTAGAAGCATAGGTGGCCTTTTGGAAAAATAGATGGGTTCCCCTGGTGAATGGAACAAAACCCATCTAAACCAGTGCCATCTATTTTTAAGCAGGATCACCTAAAAAGGACACCTATGGCTAGAAGGATCTGGGTATGGGAATGGACAGGTTTAGTCCTTGGTTCCATTTACGTGGGCAACCCAGTTTGGTTTTATGTCAAGTAGTAAATAAATTTTGCCGGCTGAAAGCTGAAAAAAAAGGAAAACCGTTTTGTTTAGTTAAAGTAGTTAAAAACAATGTTTGCATTCAAACACCCACTCACCAAATTCAATAGTTATAACACTCAAAACGATAACAAACTAATGTCATTGAGCAGAAAACCGGTAGAAAGATCTGGGTATGGGTTTAGTCCTTGGTTCCATTTACGAGGGCAATTGAGTTTGGGGTGACCCAATTTTTCACAACCACCGCCATGTTGAGAATGAGCTGTCGCGACCTGGTACATACAATGGCATTGGCAAACATAATGGGTTTTAAAGCCATGGTTCAAACCATCTTAAACTGGTTTGGTTCAAACAGAGGCTGTTGCAACCATACCGCCTTAACAAACTGGTTCAACCACATCCTTTGCAAAGCACGCATTGTACCAAGCGGGTGGCTGTTCTTTGCCTGTGCCCAAAAAGGGGAAGCTTGTTTTTAAGGGAAACCAACAGGTGCGGTTTCCTGTATGCCATCCCTTTTTGCACCACCCCCGCAGCAAATGCCCTCAAAAGACCACGGCGCTTTTCTTAGCTTGTCCCAGACCGGAAAAATCACACTCACGCTTCCGAGTCGTGCGCACGGCAGAGCAGTGCGGCACGTCCTGATCCGGGCGCGGCCTTGTGCCGCTGTCGAGGTGCAACCTACTTAAAAGGTCTGGCTAGGTCATTGGCCGTTCGGATTGGCCTGCCAGCGCAAAAAGTGCGAAGAGCACGATCCACGTTGTGTAAGGTACAACGTGGCAGCTCAAGCGTAAGGCCACTCTGTGGTGGTCCAACTCCCAGGGTTGAGAGATTGAGGCTTCGAACCTCTCCAATGCCCAAGTTGAAAAAGGAAGCACAAGCCCGAAAAAGCAAGCGAACCACATGGATGTCCGAACCAAGATTGCATTGAGCATGGGAGAGGCTAGGCTGATCTCGCCAAATCGCACCGTCTTTGTGGGGTGCCGGGCTGGGAAAAGCTACGCCTGCAAGCCTGAGCGCAATCGCGCATTCAAGCCAAGAAATGAAAACTGGTCCTTCGGAGGTCTGGGCCTGCTGATGCAGCCATTGGATGACCTGAAGGGGAAACCTGGTGCCGAATTTGAATTCTACTGCTGATCCTGCAAGGTCCGTTGCCCATTCTGGGCTAAGCGAAGCGAGCCATCTAATCTGCCCTTCACTGTGTGCATAGGGCAGCGGCTCCTCGTCATCGGGGAGGTCGTCAGGGGTTCGCTGGTGATGCTTGGCTTTTTCTCTCCCGTCATTGGATTCGGCAATGGCAAGATGAAGGCTCTGCAGAAGGCGGAGTCGGTGTAGCTGATCACGTTCAGCCTGCTCATAGTTGCTCCAAAGTAGTGCAAAGTCAGGGTTACGCCTTTGATTTGCATGCTTAGCGGCTGCGTCTGCGGAGTTGTTCCATCGAGCTGCCCATTCATCGGCTGGGTTTTCACACTCATCCGGATGACCATGACCTGGTAGATGCAGTACTCGAAATTGACCAGGTGCAAGTCCAGATAGATGCTGATGAAGTTCTTGCCATAGGTCACCGTTGCTGCGATCCGGAATGTCAGAGTCATCTGCTTGGATACGCCATGTACCTGCTGCAGCGTATGCCGAGTCGGTCCACAGTGTGGTGTTGCACGCACTGAGGGTGGTCCATTTTGCAGCGCAGATAATAGCTGTGAGCTCGGCCCGGTTGATGCACTGAACTGGGCCTGCGAGCTCGCCTGATGAGATGCAGCAAACGTGCGTTGCCGATACCAACGCCCAGGAAGCAAGTGCGAGTGGCCGGTAGGTGGGTGACGTACATGAGCCATCCGAGAAGAGGTGGACGTCTTCGTCGGCTTGGGCAACAAGTTGAAAGTGGAATGGTTCATTTTGGAGGTTGTAGAAGTACTCCCGAACTTGTCCAAGAAGGGGGTTTCGAGGGAGTAGTAGCCGCTCTCGTACACATACAGGAGAATCGTGCCATAGGCGCCGAGCTTGTTCGTGCTGCGCATGACACTCAGCAAAGGCTGGACATTCGAGGCATCTGTGCTCGGCTGTGTCATTGGCTGGGCAATGATTGCATTGGCTGGTTGACAGGTTGTCGAACTTGGCCTTCTGGGTGTTGAGGTAGAAGGCTCCTTCCCGAAGTGTGTTGACTCTGGCGTTCTCAAGCGCTGTGAGGTGTGAACTGCATTGCTTGACTGCAGCCCAATTGATGCCTTCAAGGCCCTGAAAGTCTGCTCGAGTTGAGACCTCGCGCGCGGTCTTCTGGAGCCAGGCATCTTCAAGTAAATCATGAAGTATACCATTGTCAATGGTCAACAGGTTGTGAAGGTGCCCTTCATGATCGACCAGAAAGGGAGGTGCCTCAATAGCCCACAGGACATGGTTGAGCTGGCGCATCAGGACAGAGAAGGGTCCAGCAAATGTGCGACCATTGTAGGAGGCAATGAATTGTGTCCACAAATCAATGAGGGAGGCCTGCTTGACAAGGACCCGCTTGAATGTGCGCACCACATGCCAGAGCTGAAAGAAGCCTGGGTCGCTAAGGGCGTTCCCAGTCAGGAGGCTGAGTCGAATTGTCGGATTGGCTCCAGCTCTTCCGCATCCAACTGCCCTGACTGCTGCCGTCCTGAGCTGCTTGATGGATGCCGTGCTGAGGTCCTCGATGGGAGCACTATGGAAGATCTTCGGCCAGATTGCCTGGAAGAGGATGAAGTACTTGTTGAAGGAGGGAAGATTGATCTTCTTAAGCAGGGCCCAAATAGGGTGAAGCCCGGCGAGTAGATCAGGGTGATGAGCCGTCTTCCGGCGGGCTCCATAGGTCATTTGGCCTCCAAGATCCTTGTCCTTCTGACTGATGCGACGACCCAGAAGTGCGAGTTGTTTGCGGTGCTGTGGCTGAACTGCCCAGAGGTAGGTTTTGTCAGCGTCAATGCTGAGCTGAAACATTTCCAGGAAGGTGTCCTGGGAAACCACTGCCTGAAGGAGAGCCCCGGGCTGGTTGGAGACAATTTCCAGGTTGTCGACAAAGGAGATCGATGTTGCCCTCGGGGAGAAGTGTGATTGGTACAGGTGATAGCACCAGTCAACTAGCACCATTGCCAGGCAGCTTAAGGGGCATCCCTCTGGGTATCCGCAGTTCGAGAAGAGCGGTGTACCGATGGTGTCGTGGACAACGAACCTCCGGGAGAAGCCAGTCAGGAATCGGTGCCATGCCTCGACGAAGTCGGACGGGAAGCCAACGTGTTTGGCAACCTGCTTGATTGGAAGCCGTGGCAAGTGATTGAAAGCCTTCTCGACGTCCGCAACGCAGCCAACCAGGGGCTGGTCCTGTTGGGCTCGCAGCTCGATGAGAAATGCCATGGGCGAAGCCGGTGAGCAATTGCTGCGGCCATTGTGCCCCATGTTCGATGTTGGTGAGCAAGTTGACGTGAGCCTGTCGTAGAGGTGCTGGCATGTTGGTGAGGTCAGTAAGCCCATAGCCATCGGATCCACGCGCGGTGTGCTTGCGGAAGCGTTGCAGAGATTGGTCCCACTGTTGTAGTTGTAGGGGAGGTAGTGCAATGGCTCCTCGTGGAACGAATGCCTTGATGAAGCCGTAGATGCGATCCCAGGCTTCAGGCGGTAGGTTCTGGTGTTTGCTCCAGCGCTCTGACCAGTAGTGACCAAGAGTTGCTTGAATCTTGGCGTCCTCAGTGATGTGGATGTGTTGGTGGAGTTGTTGACCAACTACAAGGAGGAGGTCAGTGTCGATCTGGTAGGTGTCTGAGGTAAGCTGGGTGACATTGGCCGGTGTGTTGTCAACCCACCAGGAGGTGTGGTCTGCTTTCTTGAATGGCTGGTCAGTGAGAATCTGGGTTCCATCAGAGGAGACCGCAATGATGGTTGCAGTTGTTTTTTGGACCAGGCGGTCGATTGGGTCTCGCCTAGCAGGTTTGATGGCCTTGAAGATGCGGGCGTGGTGCTCCTGCATGCGAGTCTTGTTGCACTTGATTCGCTGGCGAAGATTCCAGCTTTCAAAGCTCCGGAAATTGTACTGGTAGTCGTGGAAGATGCGTTCGAGGATATCCAGGTCAGGCGTGGTGTCCGGGATGAGTCCGGGGCTGCCCTGCAGATGGTGTTTGCGGGATTGCCACCATCCAGGGAACGTGGGTTGGAATCCCCGTGCGTGAAGAATTGCACGCCAGACCTCAGCTCTGTAGAGCTGGTGCGTAGCTTCTTGGCCGCCGGCCCTCAATGAGTGCAATAGGCTCTGTAGCCTGCGAAGTTGGCGAAACCAAAGCAGCACTGCCCGACTGACAAGGTCCGAGCAGAGTTGAACCTCGCTTTCTCGACTAGGTCGGAGAAGTGGTGGTTGTGGTAGTCTACGTTGAGGTCGAAGTCGTGTTCCACGTCCCCAACAGGCAGTGGGGAGGGCCGTGTGCGAGGTGTGGTGGAGGTGTTGATCAAGGCTGGTCTCATAGAGCACGCCAAGTTGAGAGTAGTGTTGCGTGGTGTCAGTCGTTGGTGGAAGGGGAATGTGGCCAGGGACAAAGTGAGAGTGCCAGGCATCGATCTGCACGTCGTCCCAAGGGATGCGTGACGGTTGTGGCCAGGCCCAGTAGGAGACATCACGGTCAGGTAGTTTGAAGGTAGCCGATAGCGCTCCATGATCGGAGAACCATGTGGTGAAGGTGGCTCTGGTGAAGTAGGCCGCTAGCTCAGGAGAGATATAGATGCGGTCCGGGCTA